CTTTGGCAAATAGTCTTTTACTCTGGGTTACAGAATGAGCTCAAATGAACATACTCAGTTTTTAAACTCAGAAGAGTGACTTCACAGGCTACAGTGTATTGTCATAGTAAAACAGAATTGTAGTATATGTTTAAATCATAAGATGGCACCATTTGAATAGTATCTCTTCAACAGCTGTTGCATCTTGGAGCAGAAATGAGAACAACTTCTGTCTTTCTATTCCGTTTTGAAAGTGAGCACTTCTGGTAATGTCTTTGTGAAGGAACAGAATATATCTTAAAAAGGTCTTTTGATATATTCAAAGGACACTTACTATCTAAACATTCTCGAGAGGTCAGTTAAGGCCCGTATGCTGCTGACATTGCTGCTCTTCCTCTTCTAGCGGTTTTAATTACAACATGAAGAGTATGCACCCAAAGTGAGCTACGGCGTCCATTTAAGTTGATGAGAAACCTGTAATTGACTTTTGGTAGAGCCTAGTTTTCTCTTCTGATATGTGTCCTTTATTTAAAAGTTTTTGAGATTTGAAGATGAGATGACTTTATGATCGCAAAGTGCAATAATATGTGCAGTCTGTGTGTAGCTGCAGCAGTAATACTACGAAAATTTAATGTAATTAATCAACATGAATTTATTTTTTGAGACAGCAGACTTGTTTTGGCTTCAGGCCAGAAAATCATTAATCGGATACTTAATTTCATGCATGTGACTCATCTATTGGCTTGGAACAACTCCTATACTTAAATTTAAACACTTGATCCACATTCTTAGGGATCTTAACTGTATGAAGATAGTCCTGCTCTTATTGCTATGTGGTTCTTCAGTCACCTGTGAATGATCAATACCTGATATTTTTGTGAATATTGCATATGCAGCCAGCTTTCTCATTCTTTGCAGACCTCATGAAAGGTTTGTGTATACAAAAAAATGCTCTAATAAAAAGCAAAGTCCCTTTCTACGAACTTTTTATGCTTAGATCATCATAGCTATAATTACTCTATTAGACTTTAAACATTAGGTGTTTGAATGATGATAATGTTCCAAAGATGAAAGGGGATAATGTTAAACTTCAAAGTAAACAGTCTGGCATCAGAATAACAGCGTCTGTTTGTGGATTAACTCTGCAAAAGATTTAGGATTTTAGCATTGCAAAATCTGAATAATGCCATTTGGGTGAAGATATGCTTCCACATACATTTCTTGGATTTAGCTTATCATGTTACGACCAAATGAAGTGCTGTTTGAAGTCATGCATTTTTAGGCTTCAGAGGGTTTTGTCACAAAATATGTGAATGAGTACCCTGTTACTAAGCGTGGGGTTGACTGTTAAAAGCCTTTGCCTCCTCAAGTTTAAGAGTACAGTTTGGAAGTCCGATGGTGGACTGGGCTATAAATATACAAGTGTGTCTTCATGAAAGATATCTTCCGCCTCTAGAGATGCTTGTACCCTGTTTCTTTAATTGGTACGTCTCTCCAGGAGTGTCAACGAGATTATAGAAGAGGTTACACTTACAGTTCTGTGAAAGAAAAGCTGGGGTTTTAGTTTGAATGCCTGAGAGCTAAGTGGGCAACAGTGCAGTTTGCACCTAGGGTGCTCCTTTGTCATGTACACCGTACTGCTCTCAGCAAGCTAATGAAATGCTGAGTTCCAATCTGTGTGTTTTAGGAGACAACATATGTGATAACCTGATCTTACTGAAGTGGTACAAATTTTTTTGAATTCACTGAGTCTAAAATTTCTGGGCAAAAGCACATTTGTAGTGGATTGATAGACATTTCCGGGTTAATCCTTTGTATGTCTTGTCATACATTGAATTTGATTGGATGTTGTTTCTGTCTCAGAATGTTTACATGTAATTGAAAAAGACAGTATTTTTGTGGTAAGGCTTGACATGACTTTACACCTTTTCATTTGCTGGCTTTAAGTAGTAGGCAACTTATGGTAAACTTGCATGCAACCTTATCAGTAAATCCCTTTCATAGGAAAAGCAGGCAGGAATTAAAACCACACCCATTAATCAAAAAACTTGTTCAGCCCAGGACATGATGTCCTTTTCATTCAACTGAAGGTTCCCCTGTCAGAGGGAAAAAGAAGCAGTGGAGTTCTACAATGTTATCTGGATTATTTCTATGAACAAAATTATTAAGATAAGCAAAATGGGGCAGTTTGTCAAATAAAAATGACAACAGTGATTGAACATAAGGACCACAATAAGTGGGTCCAGGCAGCTAGACTATCAAATATAACTATTTTTTAAAATGGAACTTGCATAAAGCCTATAGATTGATTGATTCAAAGTCATATAACAGAGGAAAATAGCAAAAATCAACATCACGCAAAAATAAATTATTATGTAAAAATGATAAGGGAACCATGCTTGTTTGAAAATGAAATGTTATAAAAGGTGCAAAAATCCATCAGTCCTTCAAGAAGAAATAAAATACACAGGGTTTTCTTTAGAAAATATAACACATAGGTGCCATAATTTCCAATGCATCGTATATCATAGATGTTTGTTGGTAACATATCAGAGACAGATTAAATAAAAACTCCATTAGGCTTCAACATACTATAGAAAATGGACAGGTTTTGTTAAATATTACCCTAAAAGAACAAGTACTGAGGGCTTGCAGCTTACACAATATAATCATGGCTCCATATATTCTGTGGCATGCTGAACCAAACTTTATATCAAGAGAGTCCATAGCCTTATATTTTTTTTGGTACATTTTTATGGGAGTACAAACTTCTGAAAAATGTAGATTCTCATCTAATCAAGTATTAAACCAATCTATTTTCAATACTATATAAAAAAAGGCAGAAACATTGTTTATTTAAAAAAATACTGCTATATTAATGTTACTTTTAATATTTAACACAATAAAACACTTTCAGGAAAACCTATAAAACTAGTTACTACTGTTAAAGAAATACCATTTTACCACTTAATGTTAACATTACCAAGTTGTTTCAGCATGACAGGTGACTGCATGTGAAAGCAAAGTGTTTAGGAACTTGGGTGAACAGTGATGTCTATTTTAAAATAACCTGCTGCTTGGTGTTTGGAGACTGTGGCTTTTCTTCTTTGGGCACAGTTTGAGAACTCTTTTGGCAGAGTTTGTTGAAAGAAATGTATCAGCAGTTTTAGCAAATTGTTCTGAGTAAAAAGAAACTTGAAATATTTGCTTGGGATTTGGAATTGTGACAATAATTTGAAGCCACAAAGTAAATGCAGTGTAAAGATGGTGCCAATTATTTTCTCTATTCGCTCATTGCTACGATCTAGAAGAGACACTCTGCTTTCCTTGTTCAAAGGAAGGTTCTGTTTTGTTGGAAAAAAGATTCAGTATCTAGAAAATTTACAATATAGGAGTGAGAGTTCATTGCTAGTAGTCAGTCCTCAAAACGACAAAATGGTTTGGAAGTGAGATGTGTCAGAATAAAATGTGTGCTTGCCTGTTCTGAATCAGGAGTGAGACATTTCCATGGTAATGCCTCACCAAGGCTGTTTTAATGCAGATTCAGAAATTATATCTTTGACTTGAGAAACTCTGAACCTCTATTATGTTTTAGAAAGGTAAACTTCATTGTGTAGTCATTTGTAATAAGATAACTTCAGTAAATCTGCCTGAAAACGTTGCCCCAAATTTTTTAAGGTCTGGCAACAATATGATGTTATAACTCCTGACCAAACAAAAACCCCATACCCACAAACAAAAACCCCATACCCACAAACAAAAAACCCACCACCAAAAAAATCCCAAACCAAACTGGCTCTGACACAGCACCAAGTTGTGAATGTGAATATTTTAAATGGCACGAGTCAAATTAAGATGAAAGTCTGGCAGTACTGCAGTAAGAAGAAGTTTGGCCATAAAATATAACAAAACATAACTTGAGTCTTAATAAAAGATAATTAAAAAATCTTTCTCAGAATGTATTTTATTACTTTCTGATTTTTTTTCATAATTGATGCCGTTGCTTGCATTTTGCTCACTTTGGAAGTGGAAAATATGTTTGGTTTGGGGTTTTTGGTTCCTAATTATTTTCTACATTCTAAGAAATGTTCAGGCAAAGACCAACAAAATTTTTTTGCTACTTTCTTTTCTGTATCAGGATCTACAGACCTAGATTATGATGGTGACATATGACTAGAAGCTCAGAGACATAGTTTCAATACTAAAGTAATTTTTTTGCTTAACATTTATACTCCTTTGACATTCACTTTAGCTAGCTGCATGGTTTTATGAACACTGGTAGTGTGAATAATTGATTCAGTACACAGAGAGCTTTATTTAACACATTTATTTCTTTAACAGGTGTATTTTACATTTGTAGTTAACCTTCATTGCGCTAAAGGTTTATTACTTAAAAATGTAATTCCTTTGAAAAGTATTCAAATAAAAAGCTCTAGTGCACCTTATATATTTAGTTTGCAGTATGAAAGATGTATTTTTGAAGATCTTTGAAAAATATTGGACCAAATTTTCTGTTGGTTTAAATTGGCAATTTCATTTTCTAAGGGTCTCGTAGCAATATACTTTCAGTGCATAACAGAGTTATAGCAAAGGAAATCTATGTATTTTTGATGGGAGTTATAAAATCTCTGATTTTGAGGATGGTAACCTGGATTCTATACATTATCAAAACTGTGTTTTGTCACTTCAGACCTTAGTTCATATGTAACTTAGGAAGGAACTAAGTCATTGTCTGGTTGCAGCCTTGGTGGCATCTGAAACTATAGGTTTTATTAGAAAAAAATTTCATTTAATACCATGACAGTGTTAGAAAGGTGATGAACACTTTGGGACGTAGTTATTTCTGAAATCCTTTTTCCTATAAAATGTGACTAAGTGATAAGGCTGGCAAAAAATTGAGTAAAAATATCATTCAATTCTTATTTTTCTAAGTGCTTTGAGAGGAATAAGAATGTTTGATGAATGAAATATCTTCTTGTATCTGCAAAACATAACTAAAATAAAGCACCACTTCTTTCTAGCTAAGTAACCTGAAACAAGTCACAGTTGTGGACATGTCAGCAAACAAGTTCCATTCTATTCCAATCTGTGTACTCCGGATGTCTAATTTGCAGTGGCTGGATATTAGCAGCAACAACCTGAAAGATCTCCCAGAAGACATAGACAGGTAGTTTATGTTTTAATTCATTGACAGGCTTGTGAACTATAAAGAAAATGTAGAAAGTAACAAGGTTCCAAGGGACACCATTAATGAAAAATCACATGAAAAAATTACATTTGGATATGCATCAGATAGTTTTGCATGTAAACTTTACTGTTATTATTGATGGACTAGGTCAGAGAAGAGAAACTACATTTTTTAGCTCATTGATGGCAGATTGCACAGTCAGTGCCTCTACTGTTCTGTTAACTAATTAAATTTTCTGCTGTATTCATGATAATTTGTCATTATATCCAGGCATTGCTCTTTGGGAAGTTCATGGGGCATACTCTGCCCCAGTTCCAGCAAAGACGACTCACCATATGGAGTTATCAGCACTATCAATCTGGAGGGTAGAAGGGGTGGAGGGAAACATGAACTAAAGCATATTTAAGTTACTGAAAGAACCTGAAAAACTGTCAGTAAAGCAGAAAAATATTGGTAAGATTAAAAAAAAAACACTTACAATCCTCCCTTCCTACTCCAAAGTATATATGCATGTGCACACATATACTCACTCTCTCATTTTAGAGATCCACTAGAACTCATTTTAATGGGACTGATCCCTTTAATGGGACTTACTAGGCTGAGAAAGCACTTTTATTATCCCTAGGCCTATTTATTCATTCTGGAATCCTGTTATAACTTGGTTTACAAAACTTTACATAGCCATAAGTAAACCAAAACACATATTAACTGAAGTTTATTTAAAAAAATGTGGATTATTTATTGATCTGGGAATAGAGATCCCTGAGTCAGAAGAGACTTCACAGAAAACTTATTCAATCTTAACTTTCACAAGACCTTTGTTGTTGGGCAAAAAGACTTTTCTGGGACATTGTGTAATCACAGATTTCTCTGACAGCAGGGCTGAAGTCTTAATTTATGTAATTCACATGCTCTAGCCACAATAGTATAAACCTGCCATTTTTTTCCAGGGGACCTAAGCAGAAATTTGATTAACTTCAAAGAGCTTCTAAGAAGATATTTTTATTTTATGGAAGGATACACACTCAACTTAAGGGTCATTTTTTCCCTGTAACCTATATATATTTATCTATCTCCAAAATATTCCTTTTCTACATTTCATCTTCTCCATTTTGTATTGGGTTGCCAGCCTCAACACTAAAGCATCAAAAGCAGATACCACAAAATAAGACTTTCTTTGTTTGTCTCTGAGTTTTGAATTTTGAGATCCCTTGGGCTCATGTGCGTTCTGAAGGCTAGAAAATGTCAGGATACGCCCCCCCTCCCCCGTAAACTGGTACTCTTATTCAGACTCATGATTTCAATGCCTGCGGTGTCGAAGAACCTCAGTGAACTACCATGAAGTCTGTGATTAAAAAAGATGAGTTGGCAGTAAACTGAAGCCTTACTTAATATCTTTCCCTAAATTCAAACAAACCATATGGGCCTGATAAACAATAGCCTGCAACAGTGTTTTAAGAATGGACCCTTCTGGTCAAATGAGGTAAACTTGTTTCATCAGTTTGCTATGCTTTTTGTCTTCTATCTACTCCAAGGAATAAATGCACAGCCACAAATTACTACTGAATTAGGAAAAGCCAGGGGAAATAAAGCAAAAGAAGCCCAATGCCTTCCTCCACAAAACATTGTCATTAAATTGATTTCAGTGGGACAACTTGCAAAAGTCATATGACCAGGAGCTGGTCTTTCTCTTGGTCCCCACAGTACTAATTACTAGTGAAATACAATAGATGGGCATATACTGCCTAGCACGGATGTATCTGGTTCATAGAAACCAGCATATGGGCAAAGGTGTAAGCTGGTGACCCACATTTTTCATTAGTTCTGGGATACACATGTTGAGGCTTTATATCATAATCTGTCAACATCTTCTGTATGAAAGCACAGTAATTTTTGTAACATTTTATATTGGCCATGCTTCTGAGTACATGTCAGAGGTATGCTAGTAATATCTATAATATTGTACCATAATTGGAAATTTCCATTAAAGTTGATGACAGTTTGTGAAAGTGTGGTATAAGTAATTTTTGAGAAGCCAAAGGTGGTGCATGTAATTGTTCTTTTTTTATACAAGATTAAGTATGTATCACTATTTTGGATAGATGTTCCTGCCTGAGATAAATATTTTACATTATCTTTATCTTTTACATTTTTACAGGTTAGATCAACTGCAGACGCTTCTTCTACAGAAAAACAAGTTGACTTACCTTCCACGAGCTCTGGTCAACATGCCAAACCTCAGTTTGCTAGTTGTCAGTGGCGATGACCTGGTTGAGATACCTACAGCTGTCTGTGAGTCAACCACAGGATTAAAGTAAGTAAAAGTGAGAGAGAAAGGAATATGTTCTTAAGAAGATATGGTAGATGCACCCAAAAGAAACACTTTTACAAGCATCAGTTTCTACCATACCTGGTGGTCAAATTCTGACCCAATTTATATCAGAATCCTTAAGGATGCACTAGCAAGATTCGAAATTGCAGAGGGGTTGAAGCTTTCTGGTTTTCATCTGCCAGTTCCCTACACTGTGTGTCTGTATGCCTAAACTGCTATTCCTGTGTAGACTTGGTCATAGGAGCTCATCGCCTGTTGATTAGAGTAGAGAATAATTTTTTTTGCTTTGCTTTGCATTTGCTTTTCTTCATTAAGTCATCTTTATCTCAGCCTGTGAGCTTTTCATCTTATATTCGCTTCCTGTCCTGCTGAGGAGGGGGAGTGAGAGAGCTTCTCAGTGGGCACCTGGCCAGCCAAGGTCAACTGACCACAGACTCACAGAAATTTATGAGATTTTAAAAACCCATATGATTTGTTGGAACATTTGTTCTTTTGAAAGTAACAATTTTATTGATTTTTTTCCTTCTTGGAGTGGTAATATCGTCAGAGATTTTCAGAATGCTGTGAACTATATTTGCACATTTTGTAAGTTGTTTATGTAACCATCTAGTTTTTCACCTGCAATGTGTAGCTTTAGGAAATTTGCAAATACGACATAATGCATGTCCAGTCATGCATTGGAAAGAGAAGTACAACAACCAAAAAATGGAGATATGTGTCTGCTAAGTGACACTGGAAAAGTTCCAGATTGCTAGGCAATGTTGTTAGGATTAAGTTCATACCTCTCATTAACAGATGTGAAATTACAGTGTAGTCTGTCAGAAGTTCCATAATAAAGAAATATATCTGTTATTACAAAGAATGATTTATGTAAGTAGGCAAAAAGAAAGAGATAAATCTAGTCACCTTTATATGGAAAGTGGAGTATAGAGAAGGTGCCATCTGAGATCTTTATTTCTAATAATAAATGGAACCTAACAATACCATAATACAAAAATTGAGCAAATGTTCTTTGTTTGCCCTTCTGGCTGTAGTAGCAACTTCTACAATGTTGTTCATGTTGGCCAGTGATGTTCAGAAGCCTGTTGCATATATTCTTGTGTTAATCTCTCTCTAGATTTGTAAGCCTCAGGGACAGCCCGGTTGAAACTATTGTATGTGAAGACACAGAAGAAATTATAGAAAGTGAACGTGAACGGGAGCAAATTGAGAAAGAGTTTATGAAGGCATACATTGAAGACCTAAAGGAAAGGGGTATGTGTTACAGTACACTTCCTGCTGTCTTGGATATAGATGCAGATATACATTGGGAACATTAATTTTTACGAGTACAAGCAATATACCCTTAAACTGTAATTGTCTGTTATGGTGTTAAATAAGACTAAAAGTGAAGATGTCGAATGTGTTTTGTTAAAAGTTTGGGCCCTAACTAAAACACTTGATATTGAACAAATGTATACAATTCAATGATAATGTATGCAATGATTAGCCTCATTCTCCAGGCTTACTTACCTGTCTTGGGACTAGCATTAGCGATTTTGAATTCCTGCAGAAGTGCCTCTCCTCCTCAAAAAGAAATGCAGTGTATATGTGAAATGCTTTTTGCATTGATAGAACATTCTTTAATAGTGTATCTGTATGAATGTACTAATTGTTTAACCACTGTAAAATTATTGTAGTAAAATCACTGCTTTTTTCTTTATTGCACAGCATGTGAAAGTTTACATATTACTTTGTTTTGCTATTCTGTCTTATATTTACCATAATTAAGTAACTGTCAATCCCTTGAGTCTTGTTTAGTAAAATGTTTTAGGAAACAAAGGGAAAATTTTCTGTGAGCCAAAATAGCCTATAGGCTCTGTTTAAATCTCTCTGAGAGATTGTGTGTAGAAATGAATTTTGGTGGAATTAATCTTATTGTACCTTTTCATTTCTTGCATGTCATGTAAGTGGTCTGTATAGTGATCTCACAAGACCTGGTAAAAGAGGAGTGTAAAGTAAGGCCACAAGATGTGGCTACAGAATACTTTTCATGTTCTGATACTGGACTTTTGCTCCTTAATGTCCATAAGCTACACACTTGAGTATGCAAGCCGTCTAATTTTAAAGTGGAGTCTGCTCTAAAAGTGCCAGATTCTGATAAAAGTAGCAACAGTGGTTAAAACAAGGAGAAAGAATGGAGGAAAAACTGAGGTCATAATTTAGCTTTAGCAATACCCATGAAATATGTAGTGATGAAGTTGTATTTACATACTTGTGAAATGTGGAGTCTAAGATAATGGCTGCCTGAAACCTGCATTTGGCCCTGTCAAGCATAGGCCACCTTTATACTCCTTTGGGGCAAAGTAGCTCAGGGATACACTTTTCTGCCTTCCTAGACAAAACTTATTTCCATGCTTTTTATGATGAGGTTGGATCATGGATCACTCCTGGATTTCCTGCTTCTGAACTCTTGTGCTATAGATTATGCCAACACCTGCTTTTGAAAAGCACAGCGGAGAAGGAATAGCTTCTGTGTAATACTAGCCAGCAGAATTTCTGAAAGATAACACAGAGATCACTTGTAGAGTACCTTTGAAATAAACCCAAATCTAGTTGTTTCTAGCTAAGGGCCCCATTTATTTGTGCTGGATTACAATACTGAATTCTGAGATGTATTTCATTTTTCTCTTTTCACAGATTCTACTCCTTCCTACACTACAAAAGTATTACTCAGTCTTCAGCTCTGAAGATCAAAAAACTCTACAGCACTAATGAATATCAGAATAACTCTATTTTTATCCACCTGAATAGAAAACACTGGAAACCATAGATGGCCAGAAGCACTTCAAAATTGTCACAATTTTTTTATTGTTACTGTAGTAGCTCCCAGTAACTACACATAAACCAAAAAGCATAAGATGCTGTTTCACCTTTTAAATCAACGTATTTATTTTCAAGTCCACAACAACAGCCACTAATTTACATATAGACCTGGTGAAAGTAAATAGTCACTGTAATAAAGTATACACAGGCAAAGGTGCCCTTAGGATGAAGACATTGTACGTTGTAATTGAAACAGTGGAACATAAATCATCATCTTAAAAAGAGAATTGATTTTATAAGAGGGGAAGGATTAATTTAGAAAATGAATGTGGCCTATTGTATTCTTAAGACCAAATAACACATTTAGTTCTTTACAATATTTAAAGCATGAACACATATATAGTTGTTTGCATTTACTTTTTGTCTTCAGAGAAATTGCTCTCGGGATTTTCAGTTTAGATAAATTTCAACAACTTTATATATAGAAACTGTAGCAATTCTGCTGCTTTATTCAAGCATATTATAAGCTTTTACCTGTTTGCAAATTCAAGTACCAATGTGACTGAAACTTCTGTGCTAAGCAGTCTTACAATATAGCAGTGTATTAAATAAGATTTTAAGGACTAAGCAGCGTGAACAAATACTATCAGCAAAATGATCATAAAGGTTTTCTACTAATGGTTTCAGATTACAGGATTTTGTGGACATTTATTGGAATTTTCAAAGTTGTATAAGAATGAGTTTGCTTGATAAAAAGTTATGTTGCTTGCTATTTAATAATCTGTTTATATACAATTATGTAAGTATACATACTGTAGAGTTTCAGCAATCTAGATTTACATATATTTTTTGTTTAATAAATCAATACTTTTTAATCTAAAAAGACTTGACACTTTGAGAATTTAGACTCAAATTAGACTCAGATTAGAGAATTTAAATAGTCCTAAATTTATGAGTGCAGGTAGAGGAAATTACATTTACATCTTGCTTTTTTATTATAGATGAGCTATGTCCAGTTTTGCACAGTAGTGACAGTCATATTTAAAAAGCAAAGCAACAAAGGATGTGCTCCTCAAGACTTCCATATAAAAGAACACTGCTTTTGACATTTTCTTTCCTTTTTAGCATTCACTCTTTTGAAAGAAGAGAATTTGTAAATACTAGATGTGTTATTTATTCCAGTCACAAACTCCTGCAGTTATATTACTATCCAAAACGAAACCTTCTCGAGTTGGTCTCTAGGTGTTACTGCTGCTTTTAAGCAAGTCCTGGAACAAAGAGAAAGTTTTAAAAAACTCCAAGAAAACTTGACATTGATCTGAAACAGAATAGTGGAAGATCTGATTTTTTTTTAATTACAAAGATATTGAAATATGATAAAATAGTGGCAGTCAAAGTGGGCTTAGAGAAATCAGACTCTGAAACTACTCTACCAAATTTTCTTTTAGTGAAATTATGCATTTGGTTGATTAGGTATTGATATTGATGCAATAAACTCCTATAAGACATCAGATCTGGCATTGCTTCAAACTCTATTTCTAGACTTCTATTGTAGTCTAATATGATAGGAATGGAAATCACAACTGCTGTGTTTATAAAATCTAGATGTCCACTGTGAGAGTTGTAAATTTAAGAAAAACTAGGGGTGCCAACATAATTAACTAAACAAAAGTTCCCAGTGCAAATTCTAGTGTCAGAATTGTTGGATATATAAACAGAAGGTACTTGAATAGAGAAGTTGTATTAGTACTTATTTAGCATTGCTGCTAATCTTACTTGAAAGATTTCTGCTGTTCACAGATAAGAAAGATGCAGATAAACTGGGGAACATTCAGAAGAAAACCAATAGCATAAATAGAAAACATGCATTTTTAAGTTCATTGAACAGTACAAGTCCATTTGCCTGTCAATGCTTATCAATGAAAAATCACAGTCTAGAAACAGGATTTTTTACTGCAGCAGACAAACATAAAGCAAAAGACTAAAACTTTAATTCACAGATTTGAACTAGAAATAAGGGGCCTGTTTTTCAGTAAGAGTAACCATGGGACAACTCACAAAACACTGAAAAAGTCTCAGTCACTAGCAATCTTTTAAGTCCAGGTTAACATTTTCCTTAAAAAATTGCTCTAACAGTTAAGCAAATGGAAAATGCAAGGTCAATGGTATACAGGGGATCAAACTAGTGGTCCCCAACTTGACTTTGGACCTCTGTGAATCTAATTTTCATAGAATCACAGGGTGGTTTTGGTTGGAAAGGACCTTCAAAGATCATCTAGCCCAACCCCTCTGCCACAGGGAGGGACATCTTTCAGTAGATCAGGTTTTTCAAAGCCCCGTCCAACCTGACCTTGAATAATTCCCATGATGGGGCATCCACAATTTCACTAGGAAACCTGTTCCAGTGTCTCACCACCCTCATCATAAAAAAATTCTTCCCTATGTCCAATCTAATTCTATCCCATTTCGGTTTAAAACTGTTACCCTTTGTCCTGTCACTACAGGCCCTGGTAAAAAAATCTTTCTCCATCTTTCTGATAAGCCCCCTTTATATATTGCAAAGCTGCAATAAGGTCTCCCTGGAGACTTCTCCAAGCTGAACAAATCCAACTCTCTCAGCCTTTCTTCATGGGAGAGGTGTTCCAGCCCTGTGACCATTTTTGTGGCCCTCCTCTTGACCTGCCCTAACAGGTCTGTCTTTCTTTTACTGGGGACCACAGAACTGGATGCATTACTCCATGTGGGGTCTCCTGAGAGAAGAATAGAGGGGGAGAATCACTTCTGTCGACCTGCTGGCCATGCTTCTTTTGATGCAGTATATGATTGGCTTTCTGGACTGCAAGTGCGCATTGTTGGCTCATGCTCAATTTTTCATCCACCAATATCCCCAAGCACTTCCCTGCAGAGCTGAGAGCTTTTATTCCTAGCTCTTGTAGAACATTACTTCCCAAAATTTCATCCACAGAAAGAAAGGATTATTTTTGTCACAGAATTTGTCAAGTACCTCTCTTTAAGGGGAAGATGGTGTACATATACGACGCTTTCCATTACGCCTAAGAGAGCCAGTGGGTAATGTCAGCTATAACGGAAAGTTCTAATTTCAGCATAACCACATATAAGTTCTACTTCTATGTCCTGCAGAGCAAAAATACTGTGAGAACATACTCATCGCATGCTGTTAAATGTAATTTTATTAGTGTCATCCACTGCAGTACAAAGTCTCTCTGTCAAAAGACGCCTCCTTTTGAATTTGGTCTAATTTTATCGGTTTTCTACCTAACTTGATTTACTAGTAATTTTACTTTAAACTACTATCTTTAACTAAAACCCAGCAGTTCCAGAGACAAGAATTCTGTTATTGGCATGTTGCATACTTTCTTTTTCAATTTTGAAAGTAAATAATCTTATGAATTAAAGGAATTGTGTGTAGTAATGATAATTTATGCTATATTCAAACTTCTGAAGTCAGATACTTAGATCCCTAAAGGAAAGCAATGTGTTTTTCCTTCTGAGCTGCACTAGCAAAATACATGTGTTGTGTACAGCATTTTTATTGGTTGTGACTAGCTGCCAAATACTACACTTCCTAAACCTCAACACTTTCCTTCTGCTTAGCAAGTAGCTGCTATTCAAAAGCAGCTAGACTGGGAGGAATTGAAATATGTGTTATAGAACACTCACTGGCACAATGTGCAAAAGTAAATCAGATATTTACTTTTCATTGTGTTCCTTTTTCTTGTTCTGCGTTGTTTTGGCCTTGGTTTTAAGGAGAGCAAACTATAAGCTAGGAAGATAAACTTATAATGAAAACAAATAACCTGAAATTTAGTTAATGAGTACCTAGGAAAAACATAGTCTTGCATCAGGTATTGGTTTAAAATTTACAGTTAACACTGGACAATATGTTCTTTTTTTTTTCCCCACGCTGTTTTTACAAACCATTGGAACTGTTTTACTGTGTTTATTTTCTGCAAAGGAAGCACCAAGCAAAATGATAAACAGGGAATGCTTTTTTCTTGACGATGTGACTTGCTTTCAGTAGCCTGGTCTGTGAAAGATTTCTGTACAGATTAGTGTCTACTCCATAGAGGATGGGAGGAAGTTGGGAAATAGGAGTTTTTTTCTGATTTTGAGGCCTCATTTGAACTAGACCTAATAAATAGAAGAACTGTAACTCAGCATAACTCTGGTTATGCACCTCTTGAGTAACCCTTCCATATGTTGAGCAGTTCAGGAAGAGTCTCCTCTCTTTTCAATAGCTGAATCTGCTCCTTGAGCCGATTCCAACTGTAACTATATTCTATCCTACATATTGTTCTCTTCTTCACTTCACTGGTCCATTAACAGCTCTGAGTGTTGCTTAGTGTAAATAGGGGATCTGCATAGTGTTTTCATTATGTGCTAACTGGCATTAATATAAAAGGATCATTACTATCTCTTACCTCCCCCTGGAACTTTCTGTTTTCTTGTTGCCATCTGCAACATAACTATTTGAGGTTCAGCAAAATATTAGTAAAGATGCATTTTATATCTAAAAAGCAATTACTTCTTAAACATATTACCTCTGCTATGTTCAGAGCTTCAATTTTCCAGTAATGCTTCCAGCCTTTTCCTAAAATCAACAGTGACATTTATAAAGTAATTAAATTAGCTGTCAAAACATGGTGAATAGATCTGCAAGGAAGGATATAATCTTAGAGACATAAAAATCAGTCTTAACCTATACAAGAACAATGTTTGAATCCAGATTTACATATACAACTTTACATTTTCTTTATCATTCTTTACACAGGTCCAGAAAAGTTGAGGCTGAGTCAGCCTTTGGACATGTGTATTATGTAATGACATAAAATAATATGTTTAGAAAAAACAATGTGTTACACTGTAGGGCCTTAAGCTAATAAATACATGTGGTGCTCCTCTG